TTCATATACAGGCCTCTCAGGCCAACATCACTCATGTGCATGTATATATCTATCGCCCCTCGGGCTAACCTCTCTGTCACTCGTGACTCATCTCTTACCAATTAATACTCGCACTCAGCATTCACGCTCAATAGGTACCATATAATAACCGCTGCGGCGTGCAGCCCGATCTATATATCACTGCGGTGTGCAGCCCGATCCACATATATAGTCGACTGCGCTCACTAGGGGTGTGCAGACTCCGGAGGGGCTCCTACAGCCCAAGCGCTATATTGCTGTGGCGTGCAGCCCGATCCATATAAGTATCGCTGCGGCGTGCAACCCGATCCATATAAGTATCGCTGCAGCTTGCAGCCCGATCCATATATATATATATATATATATATATATATATTGCTGCGGCGTGCAGCCCGATCCATATACATACACACACAGACACACACACACACACACACATTTCTGCGGCGTGCAGCCCGATCCATAGATATATAATCCTCACAACTAGGCCCTCGGCCTCTCTCAGTCATTAACCTCATCATCAGACTCTTAGTCTATCTCAATCATCAATCTCACAATCAGACCCTCGGTCTATCTCAGTCATCATCTCACGATCACTCGGACAATCAGTAAAACAGGGAACTCAACCCAAAACAGTTTTCACATTTTTAAGAATATAGTGATAAAGCCAGATTCGAGTAATAAACAGGTAAAACATGACTGACGATATGCTTTCAAACAAGTAGAGTGAGGAAAGATAGTACAAATGCCCCTAAGGGTCTCAACAAGTCGGCACAAGGCCCCAAACATGGCATACAACCCAACATATAATAGTATCAAACAATTAACTATCAAGTGCGCATTAAAATAATCGTTCGGGATGGACTAGGTCACAATCCCCAGCGGTGCTCTACCCCACGCTGGTCATCTAGCGTGTAAGTCACCTCAAGGTAACACAGCGATGTGTAATCCGGGGTTCCAAACCCTCAGAACAGCATTTACAATCATTACTTACCTCAATCCGAGCAAAATCCTACTCTGAAATGTCATTGCCCCTTGAATCGGCCTCCAATCGACCCAAATCTAGTCACAGTTAATTCAATTCAGTCAATACTAGTTATAGGAATTGATTCCATATGAAAATACTAATTTTTCAACAAAATCCGAAATTTAACTCAAAATTTCCCGTGGGGCCCACGTCTCAAAACCGACGAAACTCACAAAATCCGACAACCCATTCAACCACGAGTCTAACCATATCAAAATTACTAATTTCCAATAACATTTCGACCCTCAAATCCTCAAATATATCCAAGAGGATTTTCAAACTTTTCCAACTTAAAATCACCAATTACATGTTAAAAATAACAAAGGATTCGAGTAATCTAACCAAAATTGAGTTAAGAACACTTACCCCGATGTTTTTCTTGAAAATCTCTCGAAAAATCGCCTCACCCGAGCTCCCTTGGTCCAAAAATGTTAAAAATGGCCGAAACCATGAAATAAAGCTTCTGCCCAGGTATTTACTCTTCGCGATCGTGGAAAATGCTTTGCGATCGCGAAGAACAACTTTTCTCAGCCCATAATTTGCCTTTCGCGATCGCGAAGAACAATTCCCAGCTCTTTCGAATAGCCTCCAGTATAATAGTCATAACTTTTTGCAAACACAACTCCAAATGACAAATGGTTTGATGTTCTGAAAACTAGACACAAAGCGATATAATTTCATATGTTGCTCATTTCCTGACTCCTTATACATTGCGAGATATAATCTTCCAAAGTCAGCCCTGTGTATTAGAGACCTTCCCGGACAGCCTATAGTGTAACCGCCATAACATTTCGTACACAACTTGAAATTCCAATTAATTTACATTTCTGGAAACTAGAGACAAAGGGCTACAACTTTTATTTTTGGATCATCTCCAAATTTCCTATAGATTGTGAGATATAAGCTTCCAAAGTGGGATCAACGCAACAGAATATTTGTTCTTCGCGATCGCGAAGCACTGCACGGATCGCGAAGCATTGACAATTTTTTCAGATTTTACTCATGCGAGCGCGTCCAATTTCCCGCGATCGCAGAGAACACTGTTGTAGCCAAAAGCCAGCAGCTAAAAATAGCTTAGAAATGGTCCGGAACCACCCCGAAACTCACCCGAGGCCCCCCGGGACCTCAACCAAACATGCCAACCAATCTTAAAATATCATTCAAACTTGTTCCAATCTTCGGAACGCTCAAAACAACATCAAAACACAAATTTTTCATCGGATTCAACCTTAAAATTTTCAAAAACTCTAAAAACACATTTTCGATCAAAAAGTCTACCAAACCTCGTCCGAATGATCTGAAACTTTGCACGCATATCCCAAATGACATAACGGAGCTACTGCAACTCTCGGAATTCCATTCCGACCCCTATATCAAAATCTTGCCTATCAACCGGAATTCGCCAAAATACTAACTTCGCCAATTCAAGCTTAATTCTACACCGGACCTCCAAAACCAATTCCGATCACGCTCCTAAGTCATAAATCACCCAACGAAGCTAACGAAATCATAAAAATTCTGATTCGAGCTCATATACAAATAAGTCAACTTTTGGTCAAACCTTTCAAATTCAAAGCTTTCAACTGAGACTATTCTTTCAAATTCATACTGATTTCCGTAAAAACCAGAACCAACGATCTACATCAGTCATAATACATCATATGGGGCAAGTCATGCCCGAGAGCTGGCGATCAAAGTGCAAAAGCTCAAAACGACCGATCGGGTCGTTACATACATATCCATCTACGATGTGCAAATGCCATATACACAAACAAAACAAAACTAGAAGTTGATATATTTATTTTATTTATACTAGTTACTTAGTTATATTCTCCCAAAGATTATCTAAATAGTTTAATTATATATTTTACTATATACTTGAGTGGTTTCAATATTAATAGGTACATCAAACTACTGTAAGATAAAAAATCATAAACATATAAATTAATCATATTTATTTCAAATTAGCATATGATAGCGCTCTAATACTTAATTGATTGCATTTTCTTCATTTTGTTCGAATAATAAATAATATAATTAACACATAGATAGGGCATGGAAAATTTTCAAACGAAAAGCCGAATCCAAGAAGTATTAAAGCTTAGGTTGTTCTTAACTAACCTAACTTGAAATTCTAACTCTTTAAAATATTGTCCAACTCTAACAAAGAAATATTAGCACTAAGTTATTTTGTATATAAACAAGAATTTCATACTTGTATAAAATACCCAAATTATTCTAAATCTTTTTCTTGATTTACTATTGAATACATACACGTATACTAGCCATTTTCACAAGAACATCTAACTAAAAAGAAAAAAAAGAAATAAGCTAATTAATCTAAAACGAACAAATTTTTAACAAGTCACTTATACATACTATATTGCAAAAATTATTGCTAATCTATCTACACTATATTGCAAATTATATAGCTAATTTATACATACTATATTGCTAAATTAGTGCAAAAAAATTACCCGGAAAAGGACTACCGAATCTGCTGCCAGACCACCACCGGAGGAGAGAAGAGCCACGGATTCCTGCGCCAGAAACGATTTAAACAACTTGAGAAAAAATAATTAGGGGGAGGAGGGGGGTCGGCTGGAGGAGGAAAATGGAGCGGGAGAGGGAGAGGGAGAGAGAAGGAAATCGTGTCAAGGTACCTATAAGGTTAGATTAGAGAAGAAAATCAAGAAATAGAGCGGGTGTGGCAGAAGTGAGGGGAGGAGAGGAGAGGAAAAAGACTAGAGAAAAAGAATAAGGGTGAGGGGCTATATTAAAAATAGATTTGCGAACGAATCGGTCACAATTTGAAATTTTGAAATAACGACTGATTCGGTCGCAAATACGTTGACCAGTCAGATCTCTTTTTTTATAGCAAATTCCGACCAAATCGGTCGAAACATTTATATTTTATTTATTTTTTGCGACTGATTCAGTCGAAAATCCCAAAAAAAATTTGCAGTATTTTTCATGTAATTGAGCGACTGAAAGAGTCGCAATTTGGAGCCAAAAATTTTAAAAAAAAATTAACATGTATTTTTAATGAAATTTCTGACCGAATCAGTTGGAAATTGCGGCTATATTAAATCGGTCGAAAATATTCAGTCAGTAAATAGCTATTTTTTAGTATTGAAATTTTTTTCAACTAAAATCCATAAGACCACATCAACATGGGCGGGTTCTACGTTGCTACAAGCGGTGTCATTCGATATCACTTTGCTGAAATTTTTTACAAAATTATAGGTGATTGGAAAAAAATAAGATAGGTGATATCTATCAAGATGACACCTCTTGACAAACAAAGGTGTTCCAGTCTGGTGGTTATGTCGGTTCCTTATGCGATATGGGTGGGTCTGGGTTCTATTCCGCAATCTATCAAGTTATATCTTGTACTTAGTTATGACTTGATAATCTAATTCTGTACTCTCCTGTCTGAGTTCCAACCTTGAACGGCTACGTACGATTCTCATTAGATTCTTTTTTACCCCTGAAAAATTTAAGTATATTTTTTAATTGGGATTAGTATTAATTATTTGCGGTTTCGAGTTTGATATATAAATATTTACTTTTGAATGTCACAATTGAGATTTAAACATATGATCTATAGTAACTTTTGAACCCCTTTCCTATTTTACTAAAAATTTCCTTATGTCAAGGGTATTCAATTGTTTATATATAACAAAAAATATTTATTTTTATTCAAATTATGCAATATAATATTTCTAACTAAGGGAATTCAGTTGAACTCCTTTCTCTACTTAGTTCCATCTTTTTGTCTCATTATAGTAACTTGTTTTGCTAATTTATTTCTTAAAATATCGATACGGCTGTATATGCCCCGCATATCAAAAAAATTTACATTTAAGTTATGTATATTAACAATATAAATATGTAAAATTAAATTTGTTATAGAAATTTTATATGTAATTACCTTATAATTGTCACAACTATATTCTAAAACTGTAAGCCAAACAAAAAATAGTGCATTTTGATTAAAGGAATGTATGTTGCTTATTGTAATTCATGTACTGAATAATACTATTTTTTGTATTTACCTTGTGGAGGAACCAAACAATTCTGCTTTCCGTTAGAGTGGCAAAAATACAAAAAGATGATGATGGTCACGCCGATAGCAACATTTACAGAAACCAGAAAATTGCTTCTAACTTGAACAATGCAATTTTTGGGTTATATTTGTAAAAAGAGGCGCAGAAGATGAAGAAAAGGGTGTTGGAGAAGGAACTATGTGTCATATTCCCTATTTCAGGTACTCAATTGCTAGTGTTTTGGTACTTTTGTTATCTGGGTATCTTTGAGAATGCACTTGTTTTTCACCCTGTAGGGTTGTGAGTTGGAATTTCTGTTGCTACTTTGCTTTTCTGTTTAATTTTTGTTACAATTTCTCTGTTCTATGACTAATGAGTAGTGGTGGATGTAGGCTTTAGGATACGGGTTCGGCATAACACATTAGATTTGGTCCAAACTCCTTTATATTTTTTAAGAAATCCACTAAATATGTGTAAAAATTATATACATAAACTGGCACTTGATGTTGCTATCCTAGAATTAAGAACCATAAAGTTCAAACCCTGAATTAGCCTCCGGATGTGAGTGTATCATGGAGCTTTTATTATCTGGGAATCATTGTAAAATTGCTCTTTTTTTTAGCCGGTGGACTATAGTTGTTGCAATCTATTGTTCTGTTATGGGGAACTAGGAATCTTGAGATGATTATTAGATGGTGTTGGTGATAGCTGGAATAAGTTTAGTTTACTGAGCATTCTTCTTGATTTTAGTTAACTCTTTAAAGCAAGAATCTTTTAATATCTCTTGTTCGGTGTTGTGATCTTCGTAAGAAAATGCTGCTAATATTGTATAAATGATTATCTGTGTTTCAACATTATATGAAATACAATGGATCAAGGGAGAACAAGAAAAGATCACAGTGGGAATGTGATTGATTTACAGCTTGTATATGTTGGAAGTTTTCTTTTATTAGTTGCTTGATTTATTTAGCGTTAGTAAGAAGTTCAGACTTCAGAGGGTATTTTAGGACCACCATCCCCAACAAACATGCCCACACTTCACAAAGAGAACGCAGTAGTATGAATTAGTTTGTCGCTTAAATACGTATCTGAATCAACTCTCGTGCTACAAACTTAAAACCCATGACTAGAATTTCAAATCTTTAATCAGATGTGAGATATTATTCACAAGGCCTTTAACCAGTGGTGCCTATGGCGGAGGCAGGATCTCCACGAAGGGGGTTCAAAAAAAAAAAAATTGTTGCTAGTGGGAATTAAACCTACGACCTTAGGAAGGTTTTGAACCCCCTTGACCACTAAGCTACACTTTTGGGTTATGTTAAGGGGGTTCAAAACTTAATATATAGAGATAAAAAATAGATTTTGCCTTATATATACAGTGTAATTTTTCAGTGAAGGGGGTTCGGGTAACCCCCTTGCGCTCCCCTAAATCTGCCCCTGCCTTTAACACAAACCACAGAGTGTGTAAGCACTTAGAGAGCTATGCTTGGACTGTATGCACTTTTATGAGTTTTTGAGATTCTTGGATTGAAGATCAAATGCTATGGCCAAGTGGATAGTTTTCCAATATTAAATAGCACATTATTTTGGACCATGAGTTCCATGAAGCTATAAGTGGTTTCCATTTGATGCAGGTGAAAACTAAAGCCTTTACCCCTCTGAAGAAAAGTTTTTATCCTTCTATCATTTGTGATTTATCTACTTTCTGCTTTCTAACAATTCATCTACCTCTCTAAGGAATTGCTTGGATGGAATCTATTTTACTCATATTTCTTTGGGTTTTTTCCTCTTCCTCTTGACTTGAGAATGTTTGAGTCAAATCTTACTGATGACAAATGGCCCGATTACTCGTTTCTGCATTTGAGTGTCTTGCGTGGTGCAATGCACAGATTGAACAGTGAGTCTTATTCCGTAAACACATCATTAGGTGGTTTTCAGCATACACATGCTTATTAGATGGTAAACACTTACCTGCACTGGGTTTTAACACCAAAGTGATTCAACTTTTCATGTTTAAGTGGCTTAATGAAGTGAAAATATGCATTAGTTCACCATATTAGTGTATGTTCAAATACATGTCATGCATCCATTGGTTTGGTGTAAAAACCCGGTATGTCTAAGTTTTTACCCTTATCAGACTGTCCTTGCTCCTGTTCGAATCTTGTTTACCTTCTGGTTTTAAGAGCATACAGTTTTTTGTTGTGAGCCTGAAGGTTCCTTTAATCTTAACCTTCTTCCTGATTATTTTACAAATCATTATTTTAAGTTTTGAAAACCCTTTCCATATAGAACCTTACATACTAATGCTGAATACATTTGTACTATACGTTTATTTGGATGTGTTCACTTGTATTGGAATATCAGACCTTGTCACTGAACTGTTAATTAGGTTGTTAATTTTGAGCAATTGTTGCTCATAAAAGTTCCAGAATAGCAAAGCCAGTTGTGCTACATCCCCAATTTCTTCTGTTTGCCATGGGAAAATCTGTTAAGCTGCAGAATATCTAGGCGAAATCGTTTTCCAGAATATATTTAGATGTTATTAGTGGATCTTTGAATTAGTAGTTCTTGTGAAAAGATAAAAGTGAGAAAAGACTATTTTCGAGTTGGTGGTTAACAACATCCAAGGGAGCTCTTTATATAGGAGTTTTGAGCTATAAAAAATAAGAAAGCTCCCGAATTCTGGGAATCCTGGATTATAATCAAGAATATTCTACAGAGTCGCTCGAATTGTGTCACCAAAATGGTGAGCAATCATCAGAAAGAAAAACTGTGTAGGAAGTAGGAACTCTTTCCCCTGGAAAGTTCATGGTAATTGAAGCTATGGAAGAATTCTTATTGTAGCACTGATGGAAAAATCTATTCAGTCACCGGAGAAGGAACAGTAATGCGAAGCTTTTTGAAATTATTGGTGTAACATGAATTGATATATTAAAAAAAAATTCAAAGAAATTGCTAGAATACTGATCGAATTGGTACTCAAAAATTGGCAAAAGAATGCTGGAAAAGTGGGTTGGAGAATAGCAGGAACACTGACTAAATAGGGGTAGTTCCACTGGGAGGGTTACTGGAATAAGCATGGTGCTGTTAGAATGATCACCAAAAAAAGATGTGTGGCTGGAGTGGTTGACGAAAAGAATGGTTACCATGTTGGACAGAATTCAATAGGGAGCGGCTGAAGCAATAGCGAGATAGAGGCACGGTGCCACTGAAACTATTACTGGGAAGAGGAGCAGTCTGCTGAAAAAGTCACCAAAAGAGGAGTGATGCCGCCAAAATGATCACCAGAAGAGACACCAATAAGAAGATAATAAAAAACAAAAAGGATTTTGGCAGAGCAAGCGGCATTAGGCCACAGGCTTATGTGAAGAATTTACTGACGTCTTTAGCAATTACCAAGAGCGTTGAAATGCAATGTACAAAATTAAAAGAGGAAATGAATTGGTTTCTTTAACATCTACCAAGACCACTGAGGCTTTAATACCATATAAAAAGATGAAAGAGAGAATAATGCTTGTTGAATTGGTGGTTAACAACATGCAAGAGTGTTCATAGTAGAAGAGTTTTGAGTAACTTGAAATAAGTAAAGTTCATTAATTCAGGAGATTCTTAAATAATTTTTAGTGATTCTCTTGACTTCCAAGTTACTATAGAATCAAGGGTTGTTTACTGCTTTACAGCTGTCATAGTCCAAGTTGCATATCAAATGCAGGAACTGTCAAGCTTGTTGAAGAAACAAGAAGCTCCAAACTAAGCTCCATAACTGATCACACAACTAGCGTCAAGCTAAGCTCCAATGTTATAAAAATATTCCTGGTTGCAGAAATCAATAGGTGGAATTCCAGATACTGGTAAGCAACTTTAAGGCACTAGAGTTTTCAACATTAGACATGCAAATATTCCGTTGGTTGTGATATGACTGTAATGCCAATATTGTAAGTATATCGTATGAATCCCATTCCATACTAGTATATAATGTGTTTCATTATCCTTTTGTAATCATGCAGCTTCTTAAAGTGGGCCAGTATTTTGTATAATGTTCTTAGTAACTGAAATGTCTGTTAATTGTCTACCATTTTAATTTCCATGTCTTTTTAGTACCCCCAAAACTCTTCCTAAATCAAACAGTATCCACTGCTTTTCCAAATGATATGCTTATCAAGATTCTTGTCATTCAAGGTATCCCATTTCTGATTTATAAAATTGTGTTACTTTTTACATTTTGGTGGAAGCATCCTTAAGCTGGTGGATTTTGATTACCACCAGTCCACCTCCATATATGATCAACATAATATACCATGGATTCAGTAACAAGGAAAGACCAATCTGGCTAATAAGTTAGTTAATGATGGCTGATAGACTGTTGATCGTCCGAATGTTTGTTATGGTACTACAGTCAAGGAAATTAATGGTGGAAAAGTGATAGTTTTGTATTGACAGGTAGATAGAATTTGCTATTCCTCACCAATGGAAAATCAGATGGTGTTATAAACTGAATAATGACAGTGCATTGTGAAGAAGCAATAGTGAGAGGAGATGACAAAGCTTTGACTTTGGAATAAGTGAACTTCAAAGAAAGAAGACGGATTTTCTTAGATGGCCTTAAGGGACAATAAAACATATACTTGTTTACTGTTGACTCAGAGGTGAAAAGCGCCAATATCTGTTTGGGCCTCAATCGTAAAGCACAATTTAAGAGTGTTTTTAAAGGAGAAAGGCACAAATGAAGAAAAGATAAAAGTGTGTATATATATATATATATAATGCAAGGAAAAGTAACTACAAACACAAGCGACAGTAATCTGGGACATTGTTTTTCAAAGAAAGTACCATTAATTGAAATATATGAAGTAAAATCATGTCAGTCAAGATCAAGAACTATTTTAATAAAAGTATATGCAAAGGTGCATGTTTAAACTTTAAATTTTTAATCCAGATTTAGTTACTAGTTTTTTTTTCTTTCTAAATTCTAGTTTCCTATTTCTAGTCACTGACATATTCATTCATAACATTTTTATTAACAATGAATATCTCACTTTGCTAACCATACATATTATTTATGTTACCCTCTTTAAGACAGAGCTCCTGGGAAATGAGTCTCATTCCTTACTGTCTTGGTGTTTCCTGCCTGGATGCACCTGATTTGAGGACTTGAACTGTGCTTCAAGCAAGCAGTTAACAACACTGCACTTGCTAATCCTTATATTTTAGTCATGGGTTTTTATTCTTGTTCACTGATAAGCAAGCTCGTTTGCCACTGCGATATCTTTTATTCTAATTTTATGCTTTCAAATGTCTAAAGGCTAATGTCATTATAGTTCCAATTTGAGGCACTGAAAACAACGTCAAACAACACATTAGCTACCAACTTAGTTATCAAGGGTTAGACAACAATTTTATCTTTATTTTTACTGACAGCATTTGAGAGCTATAAATAACATGCTGGAATGTTTTAGTTATATTTTATCTTTGGTTGGTATGGTTGTTTTAGATCTTCTAGTTTGCCACATGATTTGCTGCCAATTTCTATTGTAAAAGGATAGATATGCTTATTTTGGCTCCATCTACTCCTAAATACTTGATTTTCCTTTCCTATTTATAGTCCTATCTTCTGCTCCCTCTTTCGGTCATCTTTTTAAAGCAAGAGCTCATTGTTATACCTATCTTTTATACTCTGTCACAACAGTCTCAAACATATATTCCTTCCGACTTTCCAGGAGCACTTTAGAATTATAGATTTCTCTCTTTTTCTTTTTTGGTTCATGTTCAACCTTAATGAATTCAATTTCTAAGTCAAATCTTTATTTATTAGGGCCCTGTTTGGTTTGGACAGCTATACCTGATTTGCTAATTAAACTATTTTCTTTAATCTTGAATCAGGCTATTGTAAAAAAATCAGTTTTTTGGAGATAACTAGGAGTGCTAACTATTACGTCAATAAAACTGATTATTTTTAATCTTACTAAATAATCATAAACATTTTGATAATTCAGTCCTTTCCTATTTGCCCTGGTGATGGATGCCATAACGCATCATATTCAAGGGGAGGTGCCATGGTGCATGCTATTTGCTGATGACATAGTCCTAATTGACGAGACACAACGCGGCGTCAACGAGAGGCTAGAGGTTTGGAGACATGCCCTTGAGTCTAAAGATTTCAGGTTGAGCAGGACGAAGACGGAACACCTCGAGTGCAAATTTGGGGCTGAGCCGACGGAAGCAGGAGTGGAAGTGAGGCTTGACTCTCAAGTCATCCCTAAGAGGGGTAGTTTCAAGTACCTTGGGTCAGTTATTCAGGGGATCGGGGAGATCGACGAGGATGTCACACACCGTATAGGGGTGGGGTGGATGAAGTGGAGGTTAGCGACGGGAGTCCTGTGTGACAAGAAAGTGCCACCGTCACTAAAAGGTAAGTTTTATAGAGCAGTGGTTAGGCCTGCCATGTTGTATGGGACCGAGTGTTGGCCGGTTAAGAACTCACACATCCAGAAGATGAAAGTAGCAGAGATGAGGATGTTGAGGTGGATGTGCGGGCATACAAGGATAGATAAGATTAGGAATGGAGATATTCGAGAGAAGGTAGGCGTGGCCCCCATGGAGGACAAGATGCGGGAAGCAAGACTCAGATGGTTCGGGCACATTCAGAGGAGGAGCACTGATGCACCGGTGAGAAGGTGTGAGCGACTGGCTGTGGTGGGCACGAGGAGAGGTAGAGGGAGACCTAAGAAGTATTGGGGAGAGGTGATCGGGCAGGACATGACGCGTCTTAGGATTACTGAGGACATGGCCCTTGACAGGGAATTGTGGAGGTCGAGCATTAAAGTTGTAGGTTAGGGGGAAGTTGTGGATATTTCTACAGCGCACTAGAGTGAGACTAGCCAGTTAGGAGTTAATCTTAGGAGGCTACTGATCGGCTACTGATGCAGAGATTTATCTGTTGGATATTAGTATACCTCCCATCCTTTTCGTATTTCCTATATTTCTTATATTGATGTTATTCTGTTATTTTATGTTATGTTATGTATTTTATGTTATTTTAGTGTGAGTCTATTGATAGTACTAATATATCGTCTCTTGTTGCTGTCTTGAGCCGAGGGTCTCCTGGAAACAGCCTCCCTGCCCCTCAGGGTAGGGGTAAGGTCTGCGTACATATTACCCTCCCCAGACCCCACTTGTGGGATTATACTGAGTTGTTGTTGTTGTTGTTTACTGCTTAAGTTGAGAAGGCCCTGCAGTGGCCCAACAAAAAAGTATGGTTTTAGTTGGATCCATTTGTCATGGAATAAGTGATTTTACATTCACTACCATGCTAGTTAATGCATAAATGAAGGATTTGATTTGTAGTTCTATTTAATGAGATTTCCGCTATACTCATGGAAAAATATCCTTATTGCTTTTTGTTCCGCCAATGCTTCTCTTTGGCTTTTTTGTTTGGAAGACTTAAGGATCTTTGGTTCATGGAATACTTAATGTTTGTATATGTAGGAGGCCAAGACAGTAGTTGCAAGATGGCTAAGTGCCGGAGGGGCCAAGTAATTATAGAACAGTAGGACATTTCTGTACGGGGAAGACCAAGGGCCTAAAATTTTTTGTAGTCAAAAGAACCTATCTTAAAAGTCTGTATTAGGCGTCTCTGGTTTGACTTGTGTTACAAGTAGCAAGGATGGTGCTGGGTATAGACTATTGATGGGATTCAAGAGAGCACCTACCTTGTTGCGGTCTTGCCAAGGCAAGGAATCACAGGTGAACTGCCGCAATATAGTTAAAGGTATAAAGTCGAATCTTGTTAGTTCAGCTTTTGATGCAGTTAATCCTTGCATTGATCTGTTCAAATGTTAGGTGGCTGTATTTTAGATTTTGATGGTCTAGGCAACTGCTAGGGGTTTCCTTCTACCACCCAAGAGGCCTTTGTGTTTCCAATAGATCAAGAAAGAGTCAGTCTTGATGCAGCTTACCACTTGTTTGATGTGAATCTAGTTAGGTGAATGCAATAACTTTCCCAACATCTGTTAATGAGCAAAATGGCCATATTTGTATCCTTTGGTGTCACAGCTTGTCTTTACTTGCCATACAAAGTGTTCGGAGTCCTATTACTTAATCGCACTTTGCTCCCTTTCTTTCTGTAGTTGAGGAAATCTTAGACTCCTTTGGACTTTTTTGTTAACTTACTTTTCTTGTTTATTTATTTTGTAAAGAAAGAAATAAAAAGAACTCTAAGAGAAACTAATTCATATATCTCATAATTAAACTTTGCAAGCTATGCAGATCTTACTTTCTTTTATTGGACCTTACCTTTAAAATTATCACTCAACAGTTTTTTAAGTATTTTGTCGACCTTATCAGGACTAAGAACATTTTCATTTCCTGTTATTTATTTTCACAAAAATGGGGAGAATATGTGTCATTAATTTCTTTTGTGTTAGATATGCATTTATTAAAGGTTTTTGGCAGATCGTATCCAGACTATATTTTTCAGCTAATTGAACAGTAGTGCTTTGGCTACACTTTAGCAAATTGCTTTAGAAGGCAATCCAGACTATTTTAACCATACGTAGATTACGTCTCCAGTCCAGATATCGCAAGGATCGGGTCTATGCTAATGACTATTCTACATTCCACTTAAATGCATTTGTTTGCCCTAATCATCATTTTGTTTCAGCGCCTCCATTTCTCCTTCATTTGCACCTCTCTCTCTCTCTCTCTCTCTCTCTCTCTCTCTCTCTCTCTCTCTCTCTCTCGGGGGTGTGCACACACACACCCCTCTCCTGTGTATTGCCTTCTTTTACATCCTTTTCTGCATTCACTCCTTCGTAAAGTCCTATCGTTAAATCCTAGGTTGGCAATCACAGGACAACTTCTACACTGTTTTTTCCTGATCTAGAAAAGGAAAATCATTGCAGGCAATCATTTTTGTTATCTCTGTCTTTTACTTTTTTACCAATCTCAGGAAGAGTCTGCCATGATTTTTTGGAGAACTTGAAGCGTTTCTCTCAGATTTTACTTCCATTTCTGTTAGAGAAACAAAAGGAAACTTCAGTATTTTTGAAGTCCTACTTCTATATCCGTTTATCCTTCAGTTCAGGATTGATGGCTAAAAGAAGTAGAAATGGTTTTATACTTGCCCCTCTGTCTTTTATTTCTCCAATTATTGTTACTCTTTCTTTTACATCTGCTTTTATAGACTGATAATTTGACTCGCACAAAATTGTTGCTTGGGCTACTGTTTAAGTAATTATTTTTATGCGAAGCCTAGTGGTATAAACTTTTTCCTGAACTTGTTATGCCGTTGTTGCTAATGAGCTGTTGTTCAGAATACACAAATCTGATATTGGTTTGTTTTTTATTAGTTTGTATAATTACAACTGTAAATTACATCACAAAAGTCATTGGTTGGTGATGAATCAAGTGTAATCAACCCAATGGTTGAAAGGTGAAGCAATGTCCAATTAACTGTTTGCTCTCTTCTCCTAAGGGCTTTTGCTATTTAAATAATTCCTTTTCCCATGCACCATTCCCTTGTACTTTATTTGGATTTGGTGGTTGAGAAGAACCAGTGCCTTCACATCCTGGCTCTCCTCAAAAGCAATAACTAAGTGCAATAATTCTAGTTATAACTCTATTTTTGATTCTTCTGGTGCTCTTAGCAGTCAACACTTCCTGCTTTGGAAATTATAACTCTTATTAGATTCACCAGACAATCAAAAATGCTTATTGTCGGAATGGTAAATTGTGTCACGACAGGATTTGGTAAAAAAGGAACTGATGAGGAACTTCCAAGTCAGTCTCGCTCAACGGAACACCCACGCACATGTCAAAAAAGAAAAAGTAAAAAAGTAGCTGCTGCACTTGATTCAGCTGTTCTGCTACGACGTTCTGCTCGCCTCCGCGGACTGTCAAATAAAAGGAATGGCAAATCAGATGGAAAGTTAAACTCGGTTGACTTTGACTGCTACCTGGAGTAAGTTTGTGGGTTCTGTGTGCTAAATTATGCAAATATATTTATGTTTGCCAGTTTCTGTTTTGAGCATAACTTCTCGGGATTATGTAGGAACATATGGAGGGAACTACCAGAGGATAAGAAAAGTTCATTTACATACCTTGAGTCCATGTGGTTTTATTTATACACAACCAAACTATTCAAGGCTAAGGTGTTGAGGTGGATTAAGGGGCTAGACATATTCTCGAAAAAATATGTTTTTGTTCCCATCGTTCTCTGGTATGTGTTTCTGATTTGTTATCTGGTTATGCCAAAGTTACATATAATTTTTTTTGTTGTGCTTTGTATACTGAGATGTTATTTATCAGGGATCATTGGTGTCTTTTGATCTTTTGCAATCTCGGCGGAAGTTTAGAGTCGGAATCCAAAACTCCCTGTATGTTGTTACTGGATTCACTGCATATGGCAGGACCCTCGCCATATGAATCTGAGATAAGAAAGTATTTTCCTCGATGAACATACTACCTTATGATTTTTGTTTTTCTAGTTAATTGACTTGTATGCTTTGTTTTGTTTGATTTGTAGATTTGTTTTGGACATTTTCAAAAATGAAGAGAGGCCAGAGAGCCAGCAGCTGATTAAGAAAATCAAGTTATTGATTCCTAAGGTCACAATACTTTTCACTGATGTTTCTGATGTTACTTACTAATGGTTTCTCATTTAACATGACTTGAAAATTTTCAGGTGCCGCAGCAGACAAATGGTACGGACTGCGGTAAATTTGCTTTGTACTTCATTAGCCTTTTCCTAGAGAGCGCTCCGGAAAACTTTAGCATTTCTGAAGGCTACCCTTACTTTGTGAGTCCTTTGGCAAACTATATCTATCATTTTATTATCAAGAAATCCTCTAATCCTCATAGTTCTTTCTGCTTTGTAGATGAAGAGAGACTGGTTTACTCCTGACCAGTTAGAAAGCTTTTGGCTGGAATTGCCAACTCTGACCAAGGATTCTTCTGAGGACATGAAGAACACAGCAGTCTCTGGTGAAAGCGTCTCAGGTTCTGAGGATGCTATTATATATCTGGTATAGACATTGTGGGTAAGAAGTAAAATAGAGAGATATATTGATACTATTGGAAGGACAAGTAACTATGGATCATTGGGATATTTAAGTTTGTCTATTTTATTCTATATTCGCTCTTTTTTTTTTTTTTTTTTTTTTTTTTTTTTTTTTTTCCGGTCAAGGGAAAAAAGGTCAAAATGAGGACTTCTACAGTTTTTGCACTAGAAACAGAAAACAATTTCTATTAGTCTTGCTCAACTTTGTTAGACCTTATAGCTGAATGCAAATTGAAGTGTGTGTATCTCTGTGTTCAGGGAATTGCTAGTGTGTTGTGTTTTGCTAACCTGCAGGCATGACTGTAGTAAGCTAGAAATGCGTTCATCTTTCTTCTTCTTTAATACTCATGTCTACACCTTTAAAACATATTAAAGAAGGGATTCTAAGTAATTTTCTGCTCATTCTCTTCTTCTTTCCAGCTTTGTTTCATTCTCCTTCCAGCTTTCATTCTCTTCACCTTGTTATTTCCTTCTATTCATTCATCTTTTGATCAGAGCGTTTAGAAGCTGAGAAGTTCCTCTTCTTTTTTGGATACATTGGCTTTGATGTCCTCTCTTTCATTCTTGGTGCTTTTCATTCCCTTCTTAATCTCAAGCAGTTTAACTCATACATAGGTCAGTTTTGCTTTCTTGCACAGCGTGCTCCATCTTATAGCATATTTGGCCGTGCTTTTAAAATCAGCTTATATTGAAAAGTTCTTTTCTTAGAAGTATATATTTAACAAAGTTTTTCTGGTGAGAAGCAGTTTGTGTTTGGCTAATCAATTTGAAAAGCACTTTTGAGCAACAATTAGTGTTTGGACAAATTTTTAAAAAGTGCTTCTAAGTATATTTTTCTCAAAGTACTTTTCAAAAAATTGCTTTTGGGGAGAAGTTACGTTTTTCTACTTCTCAAGAACTGCTTCTACTTTTACACAAAAGCACTTTTTTCAATCTAAAAGCTTGGCCGGATGCTTTAACTTGAAATAAAAAAAACCCTATTTAAAACACGGAAGAGCTCTAGGAATGATTGTTAAACTTTGATATCTATAAGTTCAAAATCAAGAAATTATTTCCGGAGTTTGAATGACGTGAAGCAGTAACTCTCAATTATCTAAGTATAATAGGAATTCAAAAGCCATAAAATCGTTCCTGGATTTTTTTTTTTTGGATTTGCACTAGTAAAGGTTCAAAAACTAATAATTATTTCTGGAGTTTGAAATTCTGTATATATGTGAACCTCAGCACTGTATGCTAGAGCTTGGAGCTTTTAAGAGTGAAACTGATGCTGGAATTTCAAACTGGTAACGTAAAATTTCAGTTGGACATGCATAATAAGTCCAAGAGAATCACAAGATGACACGCATCACACTCTCATATATCCTCTACTTCCATGGATTCAAGGCAGATCGAGCATTCCTTCTGCATTCGTCTCCACAGCCAAGGATTTTTCTTGTTAATTTTTCGACGAGGAATCCGTCTTTCAATTTTGGTTTCATTCTCGTTACATAAGCTTCTTCTCTGCTTTTCTATAGGTGTTGTTTTACACTTCAATACCACACAAGAGGGGGTGATTTGTGTGGTGACCAATTTTTCGCTTAAACTGATTATGGAAGGACCCGGTTCTTCTATATGTTCCTTCTACTACTGTTATGGAATAATAAATGTAGAAAGTAAAGAACATAAGTATTTTTTACGTGGAAAACACCCGGCTCAAAATGTGAAAAAACCACGACCCACTACTCAGTAGGATTTTTCCCAACACTTCACTAAATCACTGAGCCAAAACAACATTTACAAAACTCCTTGTAAACCTAAGGATTACCTCTAATCTCGTTGTAGCAACCAACCTCTAACTGTTGCGACAACTTCAAGTTAACTCTAACTTGAATACTCAAAGTACCTATTACAATTGCTTCTAGATAAAGCTGATATGAAAACACCCACTATAATTGAACTAGAAATAAAGAAAGACACATAAAACTCTTTATGGAGCTGATTCTTCAATCTGGTTCATGTAGCTTCAGGTTTGCACACTTGAATCACACACAAACTGCTTGCAAAAAGCCTTGATATTTTTCTCTCAATTCACGTTTAACTTCTGCGTTTTTGTGCAACACCTGTAATGTGAGAACATCCTGCAATTTATAGAGTTAGTAGATGAAGAAATAACTAGAGTTCTGATGCAACTCTTCCTCGGTGGAAGAGTTCTAGTCAATTTCAACTTCTAACTCCTTCCCTATCTTGGATAGTGTTCTCTTTGATTAACGAGTCCTTCTCCTTATCAATTATGCAACCTTTTCGATCAGGAGATACTAAATACACCAATTTAAGCTTATCTTCTTTACGTGCATCCCACATGCTCGAATCTGCCCGTTTCTATGCACACAAGGGATGGACCTGGAGGGATGGATCTGGTTCATGCCTGAGTTCCTTTGTCAGTCTTCAAAACTAACCTTTACTTGGGCCAACAATAGGCTCTGCAGTTCATCAGCCTGTTATGCATGTGGCAACCAGAGGCGGATCTAAGATTTAGAGCTGATGGGTGCCACAATTTTCTTTAATGTATATATTATACCTAATATAGAGTTTGTTAGGAATGTATATTCGGTTCAGGTTTTTTTTCTTTGAGTTTATTCGGATTAACTTAATAGGCATTTTTATTTGCAAATATGAGAATTACATCTCAAATACCAAGAAACAAACGTAATTAGAGTTTTAAATAAGGAATCAACCTTTATTATAAATAACACAAGTAAAATTAATATCTTCACTAAGGGTGTCACGCCCCAAAATCCACTAAGGGTCGTGTGGCGCCGGACACCGCTGTCAGGCAAGCCAACTAAATTATCAATTGAATTCTCCTTTTAATTATATAGAAATCTAGGATTTTTCCTTCCAATTTTCATAAATAAAGAGGTCATTACTTCAATTCAAATAAAAAAAAAGTGAACAGTTAATACAATTCTTTCGAAGAACCGACCCAGAACCCGGTGTCACAAGTGCAAGAGCATCTATTGATAAGGAAAATAAAATACAACATCTGTCCGAAATACAGTGGACAGGGAACAAATATAAAATGCTGAAAGGAACTACACTAGCTGCGGGTCGCCTCGAACAATGCAGCTCACCTAGTCCCAGAATCATCCGCGCCGCTACGCCCAGTAAGCCACTAAAGTTACTTATACCTGTGCAACAAAAATGCACAGAAGTGTAGTATGAGTACGTAATCAACGTGTACTCAGCAAGTATCCCGTCTAATCTCGAAGAAGTAGAGACGAGATGGTCAACTTTGACACTTACTAGTGGTCCAATAATAATATACTAAATGTGTGAGGAAATCAAGAATTTTATAAGGCAGTACTAACTCACAAAGCTGGAAAACAAGCAATACACCTTCAACAAATAGTAAAGGATTTTCAAGGTTTACCTTTCTTTATCTTATCAATTTACATCAAGCCATGAAGGGCAATATCATCATTTAAAATTTCACGTGCATCAATATATATAAAAAATATCATGCGCAAATCATGCCGAGGCGACGGCCCGGTCCAACAGAAAAGAAATGTGCACTTGCCGAGGGTCGACGACGCGCTTATAGATGCATCTATTACCCCGCTCGCGAAATAATCTGTGACGCGGTCAACAAAAAATAAACACATACCCTGCTCGCGAATCATACATGCGATGCAGGTACACGGAGAGATACATGCTCAATCAATCAAGTAAGAACTTATCAGGGAATATTTATCAAAATATATCAAATTCTCCTTTAACAAATTTTAAAAAGTAAAGTTAACCCCTTTAGAAATTCATTTACAAATTTCATGTGATTTAAGCAATTCAAGCTACCATAGGGCTTACAAATAATTCAAGTATAACATGCTTTTGGGTCCTAGCTATCCGGACAATAGCATAATAGTAGCTACGCACGGACTCTCGTCACCTCGTGCGTACGTAGCCCCCACAAATAGGAGCACATAATCAATTAACTTACCTATGGGGACAATTCCCTCTTACAAGATTAGAAAGGAGACTCACCTCGCTCCGAAGCCTACATTCCGATTCAAGAACGCGCTCAAACTTCCAATTTAGAGCCAAACGATCCACAACTATTCAAATAGGGTAAGAACTAGTCAATACATGCTTAAAAGTTCATATTCTAACTTTCCACCCAATTTCCCAACCTTAAATTCAAAGTTCCTATAATCCGACCCCGGGCCCACGTGCCCGGATCCCGAAATTTTTCGAAGGAAGTTGTTCTTTATAGCCTAAGGACAAAGATATATGATTTCTACTCCATTCTACAACCAATTTCGTGGTTAAATCTTGTTTTTAACAAAACCCTAGGTTTTACTCTATTCCCATGATTTTTTTTTTACTAATTTACAAGTGTTAATCCACCCAAACTTCAAGTATTAAACTAAGGATAGGTGAGACAACTTACCTCAAGATGCTAGGGGGAAGTCTTCTCTCAAAAGCTCCCAAAATCGCCCATGAAACGAGTGAAAAATGAGCAAAAATGGCATTGGGCCCGAATAAATGAAGGCCACTACCTTATGTGATTTCCGCATATGCGGTCTTGGGCCGCACCTGCGGCCACCGCTTTTGCGGAAGGAAGACCGCTTCTGCGGTCTGGGCCGCTTTTGCAGATAGGCCCACCGCTTCTGCAGTTCCGCTTTTGCAGATATCGGGCGGCATCTGCGGTCTTGACATGCCTGGCCTTGGGCCGCATCTGCGACAGGCCCTACCGCTTCTGCGGTTCTGCTTTTGCGGATTTAGGGCCGCATCTGCGGTCTTAGCCGCTTCTGCGAAAAATCGACCGCTTATGCGGTCTCGCACCTGCGGCCAACCAACCGCAGGTGCGGTTATGACAGAAGCAGATGCTTCAGCACCTCCAAAAACTCCTTTTTGATCCGTAAACCTCCCAGAATCCACCCGGGGCCCCCGGGACCCCAACCAAACATACCAACCAGTCCCAAAACACATTACGGACTTGCTCGAGGCCTCAAATCACATCAAACAACGCTAAAACCATGAATTACACCCCGATTCGAGCTTTATGAACTTAAAACTTTCAAACTTCTACTTCCGNCAAAGAAGAGCTGATTCTCTTTTAACAATTTAAGGAAATGAGGTTTACATCTTGTTAGAATTTCATTTACTATTTTGATATAGCTTAGACAATTCAACTATCCACAAGATTACAAGTATTCCAAGTATAACATGCTTTTGGGTCCTAGACTACCCGGACAATAGCATAATA